GTAAGTTATGTTTACGAATTGCTTGGGCGTTTGTCCCATTTATGCAAACGACGGCACACTGGTTTTTTTATTTTTCTTCTCGTGGCGTGCACAGGTATGCTAGGAATGCATCTGCATAAATGAGGCTAGACGATATACGTGCGCGTAGACTCGTTGTGAACGTGCTTTAATGGTGCGACCCCGACACGTCCGCGAGTTTATCTCGGCCTTATACCTGCTGCTTCATGGGATTCCCGTACATGCTTTTCATCCTTCCAGTTACATCGTAAACCCTCCGTTCGCTCGCGACCCCTCTCTGCCTTTACGCTTCTCTCGGACAACATTCTCATCACGGTTTGTTCAGCCTAGATCCCTTCCGCGAGGGCGAGTAGACGCGCGTATGATACAGTGTATTATACCCCGCGCATTACATGTATATGTATACCTTCTCGATCTTATACGATCATTATGCTATAAATAACTTGACCCATAAATTTTATGCAGGGACATTTGTGAAACTAGCAATACCTTAAGTCTTTCTCATACTCAGAGATAGTATTTGAAATAGAAAATGAAAATACGTACATATATTCTCTCTAAGCTACTTCTATCAAGCTATTTCTCCTACTAGGTTATATAAATGGTTAATGAAATAATTCACATTTGTATATTGCAATAGAAATTTTATTTGGAATGTTTAGTTGATTTTACGAATCAAAAATGTGCAAAGTCATCATACGATTACATACGTTATATGAAATTTACCAATGAAGAAACAATCGCATTTACATATGGTATTTCACTAAATACTAAATCGAGCGAGAACAATAGAATAATAAATGTTATAGCTATGATATGGTATAATAGAAATAATATTTGAAAATGCAGCTAGTTTTTTTATGCAACTATTGTAAGAAATCGAATCCTGCAATACAGACAGTAATATACATGTTTCTAAACGACACTTTTAAGTTTTTTGTTATTTTACAATTGAAAGAGCAAACCATTTTATATATATATATATATATATATATATATATATATAGCATCTTTCTTTATGAATGGTGAGCTTTACCTAGAGATACTCTATTCTCTGCAACTTGCGTTGGAATATCTAATCCTTATTTAATAATAGCAATAGTATTAAGTATCGCGTAAATGATAGTTTATGTCTAGTACAAACAGTAAAGCGTTTTGAAACGCTGACGCTAAAGTACTGTTTGTAAATCGCTAAAGAGGCAGATCACGGCATGTGTGATTTGCGTTAATATTAATAAAGTATATATCAACTACTTATATAACTAAACGATACACATATGCATTTTTAAAGCATATTCCACTGTGCATTACAAAAATGCACTTTATATAAGAATATATTCTATTTTTCGTGTTTTTTTTTTTTTTTGAGAGCCGTTAATAGTGAGGAATGGCGTTTTACATTTATGCAAATATTTTAGTTATATAACTGTCCTTTTGTCAAATCAGTTTTTTTTTTTTGTTTTGTTTTTTTTTTTTTTTTTTTTTTTAACATGCGGAAACATTCGTGAATACGGAAATTTCCATACATGTAATTTTCTCGACCGAAATATTTCTGTTCGTCATGTAAATTATGTAAAATTATGTTACATCAGGTATTATCAAATCTTAAGTTTTTTGTTCAAGTATTTATCGATAAAAAAGAGTAATGTAATCAATATATACAAAAAGGAAATATAAAAAGTATGATTACTGATTTGTTTCCAAGCGCGATAATAAATTTAACTCTCGCGGTGACAAGTTCCTTCAATTACCTGTCTCAAACCTATCTGATCTATATCTATATCTCCAGTGATATAAGTAACATCACAGACACTGGCACAATCGCGTAAACATTCGGCGTAATTGTTCCCATTGACTGTGTCGATGTTTTTTTTTTTTTTATAAATACTATTAATTATAGCGTTTGTTATACAAACATATTAACAGTCGTCTATCGATTGACTCCACCTGGATAGCTTCCTCCATTACGTGACATTGTTTTGCTTTTACGAAACGAAGGACTTACAGTGGGCAGTGGATGGTTGCGTAGAAACGTTTACAGTCTAGATGGCCCAGAAGAGCATCTGTGGATTGGCGTAAGATAATCCCGCAGTGGTCATCAAGTGCATACAAATCCCTCCTGCGCTACTGTAGATGCCCCAGTAGGTCCTTCCTATAACAGACATACATCATGGAAGAATAAATACTATTATTAATTGTTAATAAAATATTGGAGATTTTAATACATCTCTGTCCGCTGGAATTCGCATTTGCAAATGCAGCTGTCTTTATAGACAAGAAATAAGCTATTTAACATTAATATTCATTTTATGCATATCTTTTTTTTTCGAAAATATTGAAATGTTAATGAACGTTTACATTTCCAATGTTTCTAGGATTTTGCATATAACAGAAATGAGAAGAAAATATATTAACAGATGTATTGACTAAAAAAAAAAGACAATTAAAACTGTTACATATTATCATGCGTCTATTCAGTTTTACCTTTGCCTGGCGAGATGTGGAAATAGAAATATTTCATGATAAATTTGAATTTTTCACTTACTATATATATTGCTTCATATTCATATGTAATTATCTAATCCTGTATTTTGGAGAGATTGATTATTGTTCATTATATGTATAATGTCTTACGTCCTTAGTAGTTGATAGATTCTGTTTGTATTCATCCTGAATCATGCCGAAGCCTGAATTGCTATCTTCTCCGCAAGATTGAACCACTAATGATGTGTTCTCTGTCTACAAAAGAGGATTAGAACACGTGTGAAAAATTTAAAAAAAGTTCTTCTTTATGGTATGTACTACGTACTTGTTCTTCTGCGTCATTGACTCTTCGTTTCTTTCCGCATGTATCGAGCGTCTGATCTGATAACCTCTTTTTGCTTGTATCACCTTGGCTTCGTGGCGATACACTACCACTGTTCCCATTTCCAGCAATATTGCCATTGCGATGCACACTACCAGAAACCTGTAAAAATTATAACGAGCGCGATTAAACGCTATAAAATATACTATCATTATGAGAATAGATTATATAGACTATACAGTAAAGTTTAGTTAATACTTAACGATAACAAAATTCTCAAGTATATAAGAATATACTCTTACTTTCTTTTCTTTTTTCACTAAACTTGAAGATACATAAGTATGCAAGTCCTTCCGTTTTACATGTTTAGCCTCAATCCACATTCCTTCCTTCAACATATTTATTTGTTCTGCTTGCCTTTCAACTGCAATAAAATATTAATGTGTGGTTAACATATTTTCTACATTTATATATAATTTATAATCAACTTACTTGTTTCCACAAAAGATTTGATATCATATGTGAGATCAATGTTGAGACTCTCACTCTTAGCAAATGACAGGCCGATGAACCACATAGAACAATGCTTGCCTGGTTCAGGATCTAATGGTGGAAACGCTTCCGGATTTACATGTGCCAAGGTAATATGAGGATTTCTCTCCAATGTACCTGTATGAAGGGTTATGATTTTGCCAATTTGGCATCCACAAATTGTTAGTATATATCGTAATATATTACATAAAGAATATATAAATATACATATATATTCATAATTTTAAGACATTTTATCATTACAAAATATGCATTATGCTATTGGTTATTATAAAGAAAAATATTATGTAATCTTACGTTTCGCCCATAATTTTATAGCCCTAAGGGCCAATCTGAAATTTTCTATATTAGGTACTAAGCGCAATATTTCATCAGTTACTCTGCAACCATTGAGACTCCTGACACACTTTTGATCAAGATTTTTGAGTAGCATGTCATCCTTGAGATCCTGTAAAGTTATTAAACATTTAGTAAAAAATTTAGAACTTGTAAAAAAAGTAGTTTTACATATAAGTATTAAATATTACTAACTATCGAATCCGGAATTTCTTTAAGAGTTAACTTTGCAAATAACATGTTGATTTCTATACCATCAAAATTCATTTTTATGACTGGTACAAAGGCTTCTTCCACTGCCTACAATATATCATAAATATTGTAAATATTATTGATCAAATCAGAATTAAGTAGAAATTTAATATACGTTAGAGATTATCATACACATATATATATATATGCACTTTTCTGATTAAATTTTATATATTGATTACATAACAAAAAATTTTTGTTATATTTATATTACATTAAATAAAAAAATACATTTACCATACACATATAAGAGCGTTTCTTAAAAAAATAAATTTTCAACAAGGAAACAACTGCATATATTAGATTCTTGAGCTACTTACCCTTAAATCTGTAACTTCTTCTTGCATCTTCAGTAATTCAAAAAAAGATGTAAAATAATCTGATCTATATATATGACGTGGTACAACACATAAAGCATCAATATTGGCGCCTTTGTGATGTACACCTAATCTATATGAACCAAATGTGTATATTTTACCACCGACTTGTTCAGCTACATTAGGTGGCATATTTCTAGCTATGCTAGTATCTCTTATCCACTGTTTGACCAATGCATTCAGTTTGCTATAAGAATATAAGCAAGTTTTAATAATTTATATATTGTATATATATTTTCTCTCATTAAAACTAAAAATATGCTAATAAC